GTATTGGCTATACAAATATTATGTTTTGTGTAAAATTACTGAATTGATGTATTAACGACATCCAGTCTAGACTTTTTCCAAATAGTAAATTGTAAAGGGACTCCTGGTTGAAATAAATATATCAACAATATAAAGTGCTATGTTATGCAATTAAGGAATGTACTTTTCTGTTTGAAGATTTGAAGATATATCATATGGCTGCAATCAAGGTCAACAACCCTGTTGGTTACCTGTTTTGCTATTAAAGCCTATATATTCCTATGTAATCATTAGGAATTTGATTTTTCCTGTACAATAAGTTTACTAATTAAATCAATTTTGAGGGAGTCAATGAAAAAAAAACAACATTTTTTGATGTGGCTTCAATCAAGGTCAACAACCCTGTTGGTTATTTTTGTATGTTTTGCTATTGCCTAATCATTACCAATTTGAGTTTTTCTATACAAATAAGTTACTATTTAATTTTGAGGGAGTTAAATGAAAAAAAAAACTTTGTTATGATGAAAGTAATATTACACTGTTTAAAAATTTCATGCCTGAGAGCTAGTGAAAAGAAAATACAAGATTCAATCAAGAGATATTTTGTCCTCATTATTCATTATTATTTTTTTCTGAAGTCAAATGATTTTTTTCTTTACGCCTGATTTAACATACTAGTGAGTTGTTTTTTATTTACGCAGAACAATCCTAAATGTAGAAATTAATACAGTCAAAGTCTTTACATTGTAAGAGGATTTTATTTCCGAGGATACTAAGTTGTGCTAAGTGAAATTATTGATTTTGACAGGATAAGAAACTGATTTGTCAGAATGTTAAGGGATAACATCGATTTGGTAAAAAAATCTTGTTGCAAGGTAGTTGTTGAGCTGAGCTTTGTTGTTTTCTCCTTTGAAAGCCATACTAAATAGTAGGTGTTCTAAGGTATTTGGGAGTAACTTTACCATCTGTTTTCTTGTCAAATACTTCAAAGGGGTTTATTTGTCTTTTGTGGCTGTTACATAGGTGATAATTTGATAAAGTGCTGTTTTCTCTATTGTTCAATACATTAAATAATTGATGTAATCTACATAAATTATCAGTGGACATTTATGATATTCTCATTAGGATGTTATAGTTTGCCTGTAGGTTAAATGCGATATGGTATTTAGATTACAAAACACAATATGAAAAAAAAAATATGTTGTGAAAAAATATGTTAGGATAGTTTAAACTTTTTAATGTTTTGTAAAATTCAACTATACTCATTGGTCATATTATTAGAGTGATTGGGTATAAAGAATATTTTAGCTAATGTTTGGAAAGGACTTCATTACATTTAAAGTTGATTTTAACACCTGCTGTGGAGTTACATGCAAGAATGAATGGAATTCGGATTCATGTGGAATACCATTACATAGATTACAATTTTATGTAAAGGATGGTATTTACCTTGTATGGTGTGAAGATTAAAATAAGACAAACAGCTTTCATTTGTATATCAGTTTAGTAATTTATAAGGTTTAAAGAGATTTACAAACTTGTGTTGTTGGTCGTAAGGGTTAATTTTAGACATTAGTTTTACTGAAAAGTTGATAAAATTCAGATTCTCTATCACAACAATGGTAGGGTGCTCCTATGGTTTCTATGTTGCAAAGTTATTTTATTTCAAGTACTGTCTAATCCAGTATCATAACACTGCTTTGAGAAGATTTGATGTGCAGATATTTGGTTGGCTTCAATTTGTGATATATGTTGATAATTGTAACAAAATCAAGTGATATTTAATATAAATCTTAACATTTGATATTTTGAAAGCATTTAATTTTATTGTGCCTGTGAACTTTGGGGAATTTTTTTTTGGACCTTCTGATTTGAGCTAAATGTTAACATTTGGTTTCTTGATTCAATGCTTTAATATATTGTTACAAAAAAATTCTAGATATGGATAGGTTATGTTTGATATTTTTGCAACATTTACTAGAATGAATTTTTTATGGCTCTATGGCTCTGAAATCTGGGGATATTTTGCCGGGAGAGGCTGTTTCATATTAGACATTGATATTTTTCTTCTTGATTCATTGCTTTAACAGTTTTAATGCTTTATAATGCTTAATAAAAAAAAAAGATAATTTATTTAGTTATTTTTATTTATTTTTTGCACAGTTTATTAAATAATTGTTAACTTGATAAGGAATATTCATTGACCTCAAGGGTTTAAGGAAAATGTCTGAATGATAATCAGATATTGATAAATTAAACCTGTCAGTCAAACATTTATTGTTTTGTATATATTAACTTCTTTATCTTATTTTTTATACAGCCTGTTTTGTTTTGAATATATTGATTGCACTTGTGATATAATAAAAGTGACAATTTGCTGTTCCAATATACAATAAAAACTGATGGTGACATATTAGACATTACAGAACAAGCTTCTGATTGACATGTTTATTGGTGTGATATAGAATTTTCCTCATAGGAAGTTTGAAATGTGGTGTGAAAAAAGATTGTCTTAATTAATAAAAAGGATTTACTGAGTGAATTAGGATATTTTGAAATAAAAATAAAAAATGAAGACAATTACTACAGGACCTCGATTTCTATATTTACCAGGAGGTAAAGGAAAATATCTGCATATATATCGTAGTAAGCAGATCCCATATAGTGAGGATTTTAAATGTAAGAATATTTTTGTTTATGTATTTTCATTGTTTGCTCATGTGTAATAATATATAATTATTGAAGTTCGTATTTCAGGAAAGAATTATAATTTGATGTTCATAAAATGTTCAAAAAAAGTAACATTAAAAAAAATTCTACAATTTTTCAAATTCATTCTAACCTGTTATTTATTTGCTCTCAATTATTGAGAAAGAATGTCTAAATTATTCATCCTAGGATAACTCTTGAATTAAATAAAAAAGAACGTCCTTAAAGCTGCATGCCTCGAGATGAGCAAAAATATTTCAAAAAAAATAAACTTTGGAAAAATGTACTAAGAGATTAAGAAAAGGAAAATATTAAAGATTCAAGTGATAATTTATATCTTGTATACAGTATGCAATTAATGACTTATTTTTGCAGTATTAATCACCATATCTCTACTGGTTACTAACACAGTAGCGGCTATTTTTGCATATTTTGACCTCTTTTTGGTAATTTACGTGGATTATAAGTGCCGATTGCAATTTGTTAATTACTTTCTTTGTTCACTTTACAATATTTTACTTTTAAAAACATTTTCAAAATTTAAAATTAGGATGAATCTGGATTGCTTTAAAATACTTTAATCAATTTGCGATTTTCTTAACATTTTATTATTAAAGAGTCAGAAACCCAAGCTAATTGTACTGTATACCAGTATTAAATGTATTGTGTATGTTATGTGTACTAAAATGGGTTCCAATAATGATTAAATGCTAATTGTTGCTAAAAGCTATCAGCAGGCAAGAAGTGTTAACATTTTTGGTCAATGGTTCTAGCCAGGTACCTGCATGTGCCTGATATATCCAAAAATTGCAAGTGGAGTCATCCCCTATGAGCCCAGTCTGGGAAGTTGCCATATTGGTCTAGCCATACCAAAGAATAACTAAACAAGGTGGCGTCTTCCAATAATTTATGCCTATTGTATTGGATAATTTTATGGAAATGAGATGTAAAATAAATGTGATAGAAAGTGCGTAAATAAAATAAGTGCAAGATTAATAGATAGCAAGAAATATCAATATTTATAAATCTTTACTTCTTGATTAAATAAATTATATTTGTTTTTTCAGTCATTTCTGTAGCATTAAATTAATTATAATTATAATGGTTTAGAACATTTATGAATGATGAATCATGTTAACCAGTAAATTTGACAAGATATTATAATTTATGTTGTATTTAAAATCTGTATCTGTTATTATAGGAAATTTATACCCTTTTAAGGAGTACGATCAATTTATTAAGTTTGTATGTGTGCATGCAATATAAAACGATAGTTTAAAATTTTACTGACATGATACATTCAAGCAATTAAAACCTCTTTATTGATAATTATGAAATTCCGAAACATTTTGTTGTCGTTCCTTTACTGAATCATCGTAAATATTAATGTTAACGAATTAAAGGCGTACAAAGTTTAAAGTAGTGCATTATGGTAGTGTATCTTCCTTAAATATCTATATCAACATTACTTCTGACTTTTGACCCGTTTACACGCTTATTCATCGATTTTGTAAAGAAGTAAACGCATGAATATCATGTTCAAACAATTAAAATTTCAAAACACTCAAGTTTTTAATCATCCGCATATTGAACACTCATCTTCCAAATATTTGTCAAGTTTTTGTAAATACAACAGATAAAATATTCAGTTACATGAAAAGTTTATCATTATTTGACAAACATTGCTGGTTGAAATTTGCATGTATTGTGATATAAACCTCAATCAAATAAGATACCAGGGAAGGAAAGTTTAAACTTTGACACAAATTGTTATTCCTCCCTATCTGGGTAAGGGATAGTTTAGTTACAATTTCATGTGAAGCATTCATTTCGGACATTAAATTATTTTAGAAATCGGCTAGTTTTTTGTTTTTGTGTTGTTTTTTGTGAACTTTAGGAATACCATTTTGAGATTTTAGCCAGTATGGATAATTTGAGGTATATATATCAATAGTTGAGGTTTTGAACATTTTAACAGTAATATAAAATCAAGAATTCATACAAAAAACTTGTATATTTTAAAGTTTGCCTCAAAACAGGTCAAGAAGGGTTTGATAACTCTCCCATTAAGACCTTAATTCCATGATTTTCATGGAGGTAAATTAAGTTGAGGTCATCATAACATACTTCAATCTACTGGAAATGCTGTGGTTAGGAACAAAGTGGAGAGGCATGTTGTTGACTTTTGATGGAAACCAAATATGAATTATTTCATTTTAGAGATCAACTCTGGTACTGATTAGATTTTGTTCGACATTTTATATTTTGAATTTAAACTTTAATCATATTTTGTATTTCTTTTCTATTTGCAGATTTTCCTTCAATGACAAGAAAAGAGTCTCCACAAAATGGTAGTCGAGACTACGTACTCAAACGTTCTGTTCATGACATTAATAGGGGGCGCCCTAAGTCGGCCATAATCGTAACGCGTAGCCAGTCCTTTAACGGCATGGCGAACCAACAAATTGTGATGGGTGGGAGACGAGAGAGCCCACAGGGAGTGGTGCTGGGCGAGTCATTCCGGCACCACAGAGCCCCTGCTGTACAACCACCGAGGGCTGTTCCAGGTAGCAGGGGTGCAGTAGGTTTCAGTTTCAAGAAATCCCCAAAGGTGCCAAAGGTTCCTCGACCCAACAGAGCTCTTTTGATGTTCCAAAGTGTTAAAAGAGGAATAAGGTATTGTTATCAATTATTTTAATTAGACAGACTTGTCCATCTTTGATTTAAACAAGCTATCCATCTTAATTAAGTAAGACAGATTATGATTCCAGCTTGTGCTTGAAGTAATGCAAGGAGAGGGTTTTTGAAGCTTGCATCTATCTTTAAAAGTTGTATAGTCACTTTGTGACTGTTACATACACAGTAACAGTGTCACTTAAAAAACCCAGCCATAAACAGTAAAGTATATACATGTATGCAGTCATCCTAATAGAGAAAAAAATATTTGTTTGTCTTTTACAAAATATGATAACAAAAAATGTTTACTATTTGAAGTTCAGAAAAAAAGAAGATTTTTTGTGCTTTAATTACTTACCATTACTTTGTTGGATAATCTTTGTTTTAATACTCTGTCATAAAATTTGATATTGAACCACCTGTATGTTTACATTATGATTCTACATCCCTCTTGTACAAAGTGAAGTGTTTAGAATACTGACCTCTTGAAATACTGACCTTTTGATTTTAAAGTCAACATTGAAGTGAATGATTTCATATTTACAGAGAATTTATTGAGGCAACAAAAGAGGACATTAATCAGTTACAGCATAGAGAGACAGACAACACATCTACAGCACAGGTTAGTGACCTTGAACTTTGACCTTTCTTTAAAAAATTATTCACCTTGACCTTCAAGCATAATCACTTATAATCTTTAAATTTTGACAAAACATTGCAATCTTTTGGTTGTTGATAGAAATTTATTGATAGAGGAAATGATCTTCATGATGAAAAACATGTCATGAAATAGAAAAATTGGAAAAAAAGGTTGATTGAGCATTTTCATTTCCTCCTATACTAATGGATGTATCTTGATTGATGATGATTATTTGTACTTAAATTAGTTTAGTCTCATGACACAGTCTGTTACTGATTTACAAGACTGTCACTGTTAAGGTCATGTTAAGTTCAGAAAACTTAAAAAACACACACTCATTAAGTTATGTTGTGTTTACAGGGTAAACTTCATGAAGCTGACAAGGTAAATTAAATGTGGTTCAGTTTATTTTTAGTTCACCTTTATGTAACACAGATTTTGTTGGGCATGAATATCACTAGATTTTAGCCAAAGGGTCATAGAATCTGAAATTGGGTACCAGTCTTATATACTTGTTTCTGATTGGTTTTGATTTTTTTACTTAGATTTAAAATCAGCCAATAGAAATTGAGTTTTTTTCTTAACAGACTGGTCCCCAGTATCTATTTGTAACTTTGGACCTTTGCAGTAGAAAATAATGTTTATTATTTTGGGGGTAGTTAAAAGAAAGTTTGTTGTTGGCGATTTCAGGGTTTTTATTTCTTTGAAACTAGCACATATATTAATAGGATTATTCATTTCACACTTTATTTGTTATCATTATTTCATGTGGGATCATACGTTGTTTCTCAGTCAATGTGTTTCTGTAGAGATTTATTTCTCATTATTTGTTTAGATTAACCTGCATGATTACATTTTGTTTTTGTTTTATGGGAACACTGAAATGTCTTAAGAGAAGTGGAAAAAAAGATATGGCGTGGGATGTCAAAATAAAAAAATCATTTATTTCAGAGTTCATTTTTTACTTCATTTTAAAGTTCATTTTGTAATTCATTTCATTTCCTTATTCCGTATATAAGATAGAAAATTAGATCCAACATGTTCATATAAGTATCCAACTCTTCCTTCCTGTCCCGAAACAAACTTTATAAATGCGGGAATTACCCATGTTACCTATAGTGGGATATAAATTATATAATGTAGTTAGGTTATGATTAGGTGACGGTAGTAGTTATTTAGATTTGGGAGAATTGAACTTAATAACTCTTCAAATTCTATGCAATTATAATGGTGGGCATGTGCCTTTTGTATAATAACAGCCAAGCCATTTCTGTGCTTGTGTGCAGCCTGGTACAGCTCTACACTGCATCTCTGCTGGATGCTTAGTTAATAGCTAACTTTAACCATTTAATTTTTGACTGTTCAATTATAGATTGAAGCAAGAGAAAATTTTGTTTTGTAGGGGGAAAACATTAATGCTATAACCTGATACTGACAGTTCGCATAAGGACTTTATACAAAATTGTTCTATTCCTTTTGTTATATTCCTCATGCCTTTACTGTTTTACTTAACGTTTGCTATGTCCATCTTGATTTTATGAAAACCATAAAAATGCAAAGATAGCATGCTATATTGTTATATAACATCATAAATTGCCAATTGCTATTTTGCCTCCATTAGCTTCAAATGGAAATTGCCGGCAAAGAGCTGAACATTATAGATATATCAGTCTGGAATGTTGAATTTTTGTTTAAAATCGATACCCATCAAGGAGATGGTATTACCCTAAGACACCACTAAACATCAGCCATCATAAATCTTGTATAAATTGCCAGATTTAAAACCAATTATTTGTTTTGACGATGCAGTGCATAGTTCCTAATGCCCCTATATACAGCTTTGTCATGCAAAGAAACAAAGTAAAAAAAAAATTTTTTTTGGGTGTTGTTCAGTTGGTATTCTGTTTTTTAAAACAAGTAAAAATGAAAATTATATGAATTTTTTGTTGCAAATTTGCAAAATTACTAAAGTTGAAATGAAAATTGTGATTTAAGAATTGCTAATCTTTGTGTCATATTATTGAAGTATTTTGTTTGGTGAAAGTGAAAATTATGTAATTTTGTTAAAAGATGCAAAGTAATTATCCTATGCAGACATCTAAATTTCCTGTATCTCTTTTGTATAGTCTGGTATATTGCATAATAATGATAACATAAAACAAACCCACTAATCTTACATGGAGAAATTATTTTTTATTTTGGTCTTAACTTAGGTATTGAAACTTTCAATGTAAATAATAAAATTTTAACTAAGGGATAATAATTTAAAAATCACATACATAGGTTAACATGTATTTTTTTGTGTTGGGGGCAGGGGAGGGGGTGTTTGGGGTTCATGTATTTTCTTATAGATTTCTTGGGTTTCATGGGTTTGTCTGTGTTTATAGTTACCAAATTGTCTACTTTTAATTCAGGCTTTCATGTTTGTCTTACTATTACTGGAATATAGCATTCTGTAAATTAAGAAATACAAGGTGCTTGACCTTAAGGCCCTGACACAGCTAGTGTATCTGTAATTATGGTGGTCCACTCAGGTGCTTTTGCATCCTGATGCAGTGTACCTGTAATTTTGGTGGTCCTGTCAGGTGCTCTTGGATCCCAATGGCAGTGTACCTGTAATTTTGGTGGTCCTGTCAGGTGCTCTTGGATCCCAATGGCAGTGTAATGTAATTTTGGTGGTCCTGTCAGGTGCTCTTGGATCCCAATGGCAGTGTAATGTAATTTTGGTGGTCCTGTCAGGTGCTCTTGGATCCCAATGGCAGTGTACCTGTAATTTTGGTGGTCCTGTCAGGTGCTCTTGGATTCCAATGGCAGTGTACCTGTAATTTTGGTGGTCCTGTCAGGTACTCTTGGAATCCTGAAGCAGTGTACCTGTAATTTTGGTGGTCTGTCAGGTCTCTTGGATCCCAATGGCAGTGTAATGTAATTTTGGTGTCCTGAAGCTTTGGATCCCAAGCAGTGTACTGTAATTTTGGTGGTCTACTAAGGTACTATTTAGGAATCCTGAAGCAGTGTACCTGTAATTTTGGTGGTCCTGTCAGGTGCTCTTGGATCCCGATGGCAGTGTACCTGTGATTTTAGTGGTCCACTCAGGTGCTATTTGCATCCTGACACAGTATTCCCTATAATTTTAGTTGTCCACTAAGGTACTGTTCTTAATCCTGAAGCAGTGTACCTGTAATTTTGGTGGTCTACTAAGGTACTAGTAGGAATCCTGACAGTGTACCTGTAATTTTCACACTGTTACCTTCCATGAGCACTACACCTTACATTTCTATACTTATGTCAGGTTGTCTTATAAAACCTACAAATTCTTCATGGTGGCCCTATTAATCCCAAATAGATTAATCCCTTGCATTCCTTTTGAATACAAATGACATTTACTTTATTTATATGCCCACATAATGACTTTAAACAAATTAGATATGTATAAAAAAATATATACTATTATATATTGACTTAATTCCCCATGTTAAATGGTCTGAATTACCCATTCAACAATCCAAATTACTTCACAGTGACAATGATAGTAATCTGTTAATACGCTCTTTGTGAAATTGAATTTTGAAATTTGCTGTGTCATCATAAAATTATTTGATTTTTTTTCCCTACTTGCCAAATTCATTATGAGATACTGACAGATTAAAGATATTACAGGTTTTGTGGACATTTTTTTTTTTTTTGCAATATGAAGAGAACTTATCTTCTTGAATTGTCTTGACATGAAAGTTGAAGTGTCTTGATAGATATTGATGAGTATAGATAGAATGCAATAAATAGGCAGGATAGATATGAAGAGATAAAAAGGCTTGGTCTCAACAAGTTACAAGAGGGTATTTTGTAATCTTGCCAATATATTTAGATTATTGATGTCTCCCCCACCTCGGGGGGAGACATATTGTTTTGTAGGTCAAAGGTCAAGGTCACAGTGACCGTTGGTCAATTTCTCGTTTCCGGATGATAACTAGAGTTCCTTTTGACCTACAGCCCTCAAACTTCATAGGATGATTGGTCTTATAGAGCAGATGATCCCTATTGTTTTTGGGGTCAGTAGGTCAAAGGTCAAGGTCACAGTGCAGTGGGGGAGACATGCGCTTTTTTACAAAAGCATCCTCTAGTTGAAATTGATTTTAGTTTTGTTTCTTGGTAACATTTTGAGCTTTATTTTCCTCAAAAGTTTGATAAATTCATTAATTTTTAATGTTTCCCTCCTATGCTTATTTTTGTATGTAAGGGAAGTAACTCCAAAATCTAAGATTTCTATTTATAAACTGTAGATGTTTTGTAATTATAGTTAATTTGATGGGAGGATAATATTCCTTCATATAAATGTACTCTTCAGCTAAAATGGTTGTGCCAAAATTGATACATGTACTTTTCAATATTCAATATAATACTGCATCAAAATAATATAATAATAAAATAAAAAAATATGCATAATTATATTTATATCTAATAATTATGTTGTTTTTTTTTTCTATAGCAAATAAAGTCTGCGGAGAGGTACTTGAAAAGACTAGAGTTTCACCTAGCAAAGGTAAAATTATCGATTTGTTTTTTTTCTTCATTGTGATCTGAATATATGTATATTCCAATTGTTTGACAGCTAATCTGCTGTAAACAAAAGTAATTAGTGTTTGCCATAAGTGTATATAAAGTTGGGCCAGCTTGCTAATTTGTGTACTCTTACTGTCTGACCAGGCTCTACACTGTTGGCTGGCCTACTACAAATTTTCATCTTGAGTACACATTGAAGAAAAATTATATGGCTCTGAATAGCTCATTTAAGGTAGGGGGAAATCTCTATAGACTTAGATTCTTAAGTGTGAGTTGGTTGAAAACAATACGTCTCAGTCATATTCCAATCATCTTTTCCCCCCCCCCCCCCCCCCCCCCCCCCCCCCCCCCAATCCAATTCACACTTATGCAATTCAGCTTGCATGCCAAAGGTTTTTTTCTGTCATTGAACATTAAAAGTCATATAGGAAAGATGTGACCCCATAACTCCAGTTTGATTCTCTTACCTGGACATCTTGTATACTGAATTATAACCATGATGATTTAAATTTATGTATAAAAGGAAGAAATGAAATTGACAATTCATTCAATATTGTAATATTTTCAGCTGGATGAGCTGCATGAGTTTTATTTGTTACAACAACAACTACGAGAAGGTAAATGTGCTCTTTAATTTTCCCATCATGCTCTTTAAAAAAGTAAAGGAATAAACTTGTGTTAAAATTAGAACTTGCATAGTTTATAGCTCCTTTATTTGATCAGTTTTATATTGTGACTGATACAATCATACTTTAAAATTTTGAAGGAAGAAAAATGAACAAAAAAATGAATATTTGATCATTTGGAATGATCATTTCATAGATGATTTACTTGATCTTTTGCGTTATGAACAATTATTTCGGCTGCATAAATTTGAGGATAAGATTTAAGCATGTAAGTGAGCCACAATATTGGTTTTTCCTCAGAGAATGACATGACAGTGGAATACACACTTTTGTGTGCCAAAAGTATACTAAAAATATGAAAACTGTGAAAAAGAACGCAGGAACAGCTGAGTTTATTTTGATTTTACAGAAAATAAGCAGATATTTTCTGATTCATTACGATAAGAAAAGCTGAAACAGTTAAATTGTAATATGAAAACAAAATTATATTGTGAGAAGTTTCAAGCAGACATTTTATAACGTGGTTAGAGGCTGAGCCGAAGTCTAATACCTTTTATGTTTAATGTGATATGATATACATTTGTATTTACATTCAAATATTTTTGATGTTTCTAGGTGTGAGGACCATGCATCGAGCATATGTCACGTCGCCTGGCAACCAGAGTCATTCATTGTCTAATGTGAAGTACGGATACAAGGAATGTACGCAGAACATGTGTAATATTGAGGCCCAGTTAGAGGCCATGATGGGAACATTTAACTGTAAATTAAAAGGTAAAATTCACGTAAAAAGTCTTATTTTCCAAAAACTTTAAATTTAAATGTAATACATAATGAAAGTTAATTTGGAATAGATTTCTTGGCGTGGTAACACATCAGTTATATTGGATAATCTCCGAGTTTGATATCAAATTCAACCTGTTTTTATTTTTAAAAAAAATTTGTCTCAGCGCTACTCTTCTGTTCCTACATTTGTATTTAATTCTTAATGATGAAAATTTCACTTGATAACCCTTATCGTAATGTATTATTTCTGTAGATACTAATTTAATTGTGATGATTTAAGTAGATTTAGGTAGAAAATGTGACATAATCTTGTTTCAAATTCCATTTAAGGTTATTTATATGTCACAAATTGGTACAGATTCTGCAAATTTGCTTTTATCCGTGTTTTATCAATGTTTAAATAACCATAATGCGATATGAAGTAAAAGAAATAACAATACTTAGAACCCATTGTTGTCCAACTAGGGTACACTGCATATTAAGTAAACTTAGTTCACCATATTTTTCCAATGTATTGATGATTTAAACACCTTAAAAATTGAAAACAAATTGACCATTTATTTTTCAGGTATGGCAGGATTTGCTAGACTGTGTCCTGGTGATGTTTTTGAGGTCACAGTCCGACATGGTACCCAGAAATGGAAAACCAAAGGTAGAATAGAAAAGACTGGGAACCAGAAATGGGATATTCCAGAATTTAACTTCAAGGCTGTTGTTGGAGATATATTTAATATAAAGGTATGATTTTATCTTGTATTTCATTGTACAATTATCTCACAAAAAAGCAACAAACTCACAATTTTATATTGCTTTTTTAGTATGAAATGTATTAAAATGATGTTTTTGTCGAGCATATTTTTAGTAAAATCAACATCACAAAGTATGTTACCAGATTTTGCATCTTAACGTAAAAGAAATGAATGTCTTTTGCTTTGTTTTCTCTAGGGATTGGAAGTTCGAGCCTTCAAGTCTGTGTTACTGGGTCAGAAAAGTTGTGAAACTAAGGACCTGTTCTCGGCCAACCCTCAGTTGATGACAGTCAGTATCAACGTGAACGGGTCGCTCAAACTTAGTATAGTTATTACATGGAAGTAAGTTTGCAGGAATATTATCCCTAGCCTCTTGAATTGAAGATTATCTACTTTATAATCGAGATCCTGTTAAATACATGTAGCATTTATGGTATTTAAGATCGTAAAATTTTCTTCATCTAAGTTTTGAAACTATACATTGTAATGATAGCTGGTTTTCAATATCAGAAGAGCTAAAACTTGGCGGCTGTGGTGTAATCTTTTTGGTAAGGCTTCACAGCTAGGCAGACTGTCCTGACAAAAAACTGTTGGCATAGGCAATTCATTACTGCCTCTAGTATTCAAAGATTTAACCATAGATTAAAATTAAATATAGATTTTCTTTAAATGAAATAACAAAATATATTTCACTAGTGACTTTTAATCAACCTGTGATAGTGCCCTGAATGGGCTACCAATGGCATCTGTATGTCAACATGTAAATGAAAACTTTGTTGTCATTTATAAAAAAAAAACAACAAAAAACAAGTATTTATCTTAAAGAATACGCCTATACTTTGATAAGTAAAAGCAATCGAGATTTGAGTGTTGTAGATCTTCCTGTCATTAAATCTTCATTTAAGAACAAATAATAAAGAAGCATTCAAGGAAGTATATATCAAAGTTTTGTCTTCTGTATATGCGTCATCAATTGTTACAATCTTACTTAAGGAAGTCATTGTCACAAGCTGAAGTTTTCTTAGAAAATTAGACTGGTTTTCTTGGAAAAACAGACTTTTTTCTTGGAAAAACAGACTTTTTTCTTACAAAAAAACAGACAATTTTCTGTGAAGTATATTATCATATCAAGGTTTATGCCAAAGGTTTACATAATGATATAGCCTATTTAGTGAACACATGATTTTAAGGCTATTCCTAACCTATAAGAATTGTTTAAATTGATTTTATTCGTAAAAGTATATTAATTTCAAATAAGAAACATATTTTGGGTATATGTTTAAAAATAAAAGTTCAATATATGAAATCAAAAACGAAAAGTTGGGAGGTGGTTTTGTGATTAATATGGAACATTTTATTTTGTTTTCAGTCCATTAGATGGTGTAGATGATAGTTTTGCTTTTATGGAAGGTCCACAAAAACCGCAAGGTACACCTCGCAGACGCCCTGTATCTGTGATAGCCCTAAATGGACAATACGTAAGTAAACATAGTGTTTCTCATTCTTTTATATATATTTATGTAGAGTTTTCTTGAACATGAAAGAGTTAAGTCTATAGAGGGTTTTTTTCCCTTTCTTTTGGCGCATTTTGAAGCTTTTGGGTTTTTGTTTTGGGGTTGTTTTGTTGTTGATTTTTTTCCCCTTTGACAAATATGTTGTTCTTGATACTTACAAAGTTTCTTTTAAGACATGGTCTATTGCAAAGAGATTTGAAATTGTTTCCTGTGGGAAAACCATTTTGCTATTTAGCAGAAGATAGGTTGATCTAATAATGTTCTTTACTAGTACCTAGGGTGAACCTAAGGGTTCTTTCTCCATAAAATCTACTGAAAATCAAAATATGATGTTTTCATGCAACAAGCAATTGCCATCAGATTGTTTATATCTTGTATAACTTTGGTGTAGAGAAAAGTCAATATGAAAAATGAACAGGAGAATTTAATACAGATTATTCATGCAATATCATTATGATCATGTTTTTTTATCTTGTAGAATGAAGAGCCTGGCTCAGACAGACGGCACTCCAATCCTGTATCTATTCAACAGACTAAGGACGATAATTTCATTTTACGTACAAATCCCCCGTCATCTCATCTAGGGAATAACGTCACATCATATCATGGACTCGACAGTCCACACGTTAGTGCGCGGCTCAGTGACCATCTGCCTGACGCATACAGACAGACTGGTCCCCTTTATTCACAAACAAGCCACCATGTGCAGGCTGGTTTTCATTCTAGTCCGGCTTTACCATCGTTCGGAGAAAGTGACTCTGATAAACAATTACCCCACCCACCTACTCAAAATAGTGCATTCTCAAACACTTTACCCTCAGTGTTGGGACATTTACATTTCCCGAGTGTTTCGCCACATGCAATTTCTAGCGGGAAAGATGAAGAGGAACATTCTGTGTTGAATATCGAGGATGTGTTACACACTATGTCCTCATCTTTAGAAGATTATCATGGCCAGTATACGGAATTACAGAGACTTGAGGATTTAATCAAATTTGCACAAAAGTTAATCAGGGTATGTATAGATATTGGACGTTTTATCGAAAAATGATTTCATGGTTTAACTACCTACCAGTTATTATATTGCTTTGTAATAAGATGATGTTACTATTCATAAGTGATTAAAAGCATTTTAATAAGAATTAACAGTTAAAGATGAAGTTTAGATTGAAATATGTCCCCATTGTCCAAAGTAGTTGAAATGGCTAGAGGATTTGTAAAATTTTAAGAATCCTTAAGACTAACCATTGTCTATTGGCAATAATATTTTCTTAGCTCTGCATGGATGTTTTGATTAAATTAAACAAGTTTTAATGTTTCTATAGTGGAATTTATACATTTAAGAAATTCTAAACGGAAACCAACAGATCTTCATCTTGTCCCATGTTGATCTTCAACTTTTCCTATTATTCATACAAGAAAAGTGAATTTAAAATGAAAATATTTGATCCTGCATAATCATGACCATATCAGAAAGAATGGTTTTCGTCTTCATTTTCACTGCTATATTCTTTGTTACAGAAACAGTTTCGCAGTAGTTCACGGTCTTCCAGCATCAGTGTGTCTATTGAGAGTGCTCTTGAAGCTTTTGATTTCCTCGACACAGAAGAGACTTTCGAAGAGCCAAAATCACCAACTGAGTTAGTATATTTTACCACCTTTACCATGCTATATTTTCCTGAAATGGTTAAAATTTACCAGTGTAATTTCACTGACATGTATGAAGCCAACTGGATATATTATGAAATTAGATTGATGCAAGTTGTATAGATATTTGTAAAGTTATGCTTAGAAACATGGTTTTAAGTTACTGTTTTAATTATATTGAAGGCTAGAAAAAAAGAATACAGTTTTTGAAAAAATTGCTATTTAGAGGAAAAGAAATTGGAAAGAAGCTTAACTAAATATTTGATGGCTAAAGGTTAAAGTCACAGACTTCTTATCACCTTCCCTACAGTTGTGGGTTCAAGGCCTGCTAGGGTTTTTGGATTCTTCTTTAGGAGGAAGATGGTTTATAGAAAGATTTATTACTGCGTCAGTATGACCTGAAACCAAACTGAACAAAAGAAGAAAAGAATTGAATTTTTAACTATTTGAATATTTCAAGTGTCATCTTTAGCCTTGAGATGATTGTTAAATTTTTATATATAAATATAAATGCCTTTTAATGCTTACCTATATATGTAACAGTATCTCTACATTTATATACATACTCGACAAAGATTGCTAATTATAAGAATACCTTTCTTTTATTATATAATTTGTAAAGAACATTTCAGATGCAACTTATAACATTTTAATGCTACATGATCTATGTGAAAACTCTAGAAAGTTCTTGAAATTGGCAATCTTTTCTTCTACACATTTAATACTGTCAAATTTTTTTTGCTCTGAGATTTTGTATGTTTTGTTTTCCCACTGCTAAATATAGAATCCTATGCAGCTAGCTTATAGAGGATGATTATTATAATTATGGTGCCTAAAGCAGTGTACATAGGGGGCACCTTAGATCTCTGACCACCATATAAGCTGTAAAGTCTAAATATTGCATTTGCAGTAACACTTTGTGTGACAAAATAATAATAATAATAAATAAATAAATAAAAATAAATGGAAATAAAACCTCCAATTGTTGGCTCAGAAGTATAATGATTTGACAGTAAGCTTATATTTCCTGCACTCCTTTCAACCTGAACTATATTGTATATGTACCCCCCTTATATAACCATGACAACATACCCAAATATATCCCCTGCAGCAACGTGAAGGCTAGTTTTGACGATATGTTATGCAGCCCAGAGTCGACGGCCAAGACAGGGGATTCAGGCATCGAGAGTCTTGCCCAGAGGCTGAGTGAAGACACACAGTTAGGATCGAGTCTAGGTTCGAGCCCCGTTCCTCCATCCACAGGTAATGAGGAAGTTGACCAATGCCTCATGTACCACCTGACATATTGTGAACGCCTGCTTGAGGTGAGTTTATTTCATCATCTAAATTAAATATGTATTACTTAAGTTTTGTCAAACTTACCATTACAGTTAAATACAAAATGTATAGAATTCTTACAAGAACATTACTGGTATTATGAATTCAAGTCTTGTATTATACCTATAGAACAAACACTCTTTGTCCACACATGGTTAGCTGGCAGAATTTGTTATTATGGGTCATGTAAAGCTACTCTTCTTTAAATAAACTGGCAGTTTTTTAATGACACTATATACTGATAGTGTGTCCATTTATAGTGTGTAGGAATTAAAACATGTTGCAATTATCAATATTTTAAAATATCAAATTTGAGCATAGTATATTCTTAATTAATCCTTTATTCATTGATTGGTTTGTTTTCATGGATGACAATAATAAGTATTCAAGCTATGGTTACATAATTGATTGTTAATTGATTAATGTTTCTTGTAGAATCTTGGTGCATTTGGACCATTAAAATGCCGGGAGATATATGCTCTTGACAAACTACAGAAACAATGTACAATTATAGAAAGTTTGTTAAAGCTCGCCAAGGCGGGACCCAATGTAGATTTACATCATGGTAAGTTATAATTGACAATGTTTATTTTTTACTTTCCTTTCAAATGGTATGCAGTTTTGATTATTCTGCTCCAGATTATGTCTTTACAACATTATGATACGCTTGTTAACATGATATGCTTATTAAAATGATATGATTATTAAAATGATATGATTATTAAAATGATATGATTATTAAAGTACATTGTAATAGTTTTCAATACAAATCTTAATGTATAAATCTCTCTTCTTCCATACTATCTGTCAGGCCTTTGTTATTAGGCAGACTATGCCAATATGTCTATGACATTAATAGTTCATAATAATAAAAACCACTATATAGGTGGGAACTTTGTTGATTACTTCAAAGAAGAACTGTCACTTTTACTACTTTAAAACTGTTTAAGGTGAAGCACATGATACACCAAATTTATTTGAGCAGCGCCATAACAAAACAAACGAGTGCATTTACGATCAGCATGGATCCAGACCAGCCTGCGTATCAGCGCAGTCTGATCAGGATCCATGCTGTTCGCTATCAGTTTCCCTACTTGTTATAGGTTTTGTAAGCAAACAGCATGGATCCTGGTCAGACTGTGTGGATGGGCAGGCTAGTCTGGATCCATGCTGGTTGAAATTGCAATATGTGGGTTTTGTCATGGCACGGCTTATTTATGTTTTGAAATATTTTATTTCAGTTATGTCTGGAATCTGTGAGGACAAGTCATTGAAAGAATTCTGGGTAAAATGTACAGACCAAAACACCCTATATATTCACCCAGATAGACTTCTCAATATGTTGGAACAAAAATATTCTACTGTGATAGCTGATAAGCATATGATTGACCCTGTGAAAGGTTGGTATTAATGTTGTGTATTTTGTCTTAAATATTTCTTTAGCACATGTTATTATTAGGTCAAGGACATTTCTTTAAATGTAGGTTTGATAGTGCGCTCTTTTAGCTGGTCTTATATATTTCTTTTGATATAAGTTAAAAAGAGAGCATTTTTATTTGTTCTGAGATCATTCTTCAATATAAGGTGAGTAGTGTGCAGTACTGATGGTCTCTTCTTTTAATACAAGTTTGATAGTGTGCAGTACTGATGGTCTTAGATATTTCTTTTAATAAAAGTTTGATAGTGTGCAGTACTGATGGTCTTAGATATTTCTTTTAATAAAAGTTTGATAGTGTGCAGTACTGATGGTCTTAGATATTTCTTTTAATAAAAGTTTGATAGTGTTCATTATTATTTGGTTTAAGATATATTTTTTTAAATACAAGTTTGAAGGTGTGCATTATGCATTTGGTCTTAGATACTTCTTTTAATATAAGTTTGGTAGTTTGCATTATTTTTTAGTCTTAGATATTTCTTCAATACAAGACTGATAGTGTGCATTATTATTTGGTCTAAGATATTTCTTTATTTTGAATTATATAAGTTTTGATAGTTGTGATGAAGTTGACGGTTACTGGTTACAGAATTTGTTAGTACTTGTACACAATCAAGGAACTTAGGCATCATTTTGCCAGTATATGTCTGAAACACTGTTTGCCAATCAGAAAAGTGAAAAACTTAACTGTTTTATATTGACACTAATTTTGTTTAAAAAATTATTATGACTAAAGTATTTATCACACTAAGTATTCTGTACACACTTTTTCAGTATGTCAGCATGTGATTACACGTGTATTGGATATACCAGACTACGAGGCAGAACGAGGTCGAAGTTGGTTTGTTCTGACCTTACATCAGTTTATGTTGTACTTTAACGAGGAGAAAGGACTGAAACACATCGAGGATGTTGCGTCAGAGAGTAAGTTTTCTTCTATCTTAAAACAAACATAATATGAAATTAATTGATTTTATGTAAGCATCTACCCTCTAAGCTTAATTGATAGGCTTAATGATTGAAGTTAATATGTAGCATACTTGTTCAATAGTATATGAATAATTATGGCACTTATAAGATTATATTGCAAGTAATTTTGTATATTACATAAAATAATATTGCTTATAATGCAAACAAAAAGCTTCTCAGAAGCATACAGTACTGGTTTGCCCTTGAAATTTTCTTATTGTTTTTAATAACAACTTCATTTCTTGACTGACAACGCGTATTTTGGCAAAGAAACTTTCATTTATTATTAACATAATTTGTTACTGTTTATTTCAGTGAAGTTGGTTGAAAAATTGACCACTGGTAATCCTGACATTGTGATAAAAGCCATACTTACTTTACGAGACACGTTACCTTCCTCACCTTGTCTCAAGGTCATTGCCATGTTACTTGTTACTATGGATAAAGAGGTGGAACAATGTACATGTAAGTTTTTTACTTGACATCTTATAACAAAGTAATTTAATGTTTATGGTCAACTTTGATGATAATATTATACGAGAAAATCTGATCATGAAAAAAAAAATACTAAGTTGTCTATATAGGTGACTGCAATAAAAAAAGTTTCAAATAAAAGTAATGTGAAAGCTATTCTATTTATAGATTAACATGGAGGTACCTTGAAGTAAATAATGATCAGTAAACTAATTTTTGAGGTATAAAAACATGGTATGTAACTTTCATGAAGATGTACTATAATTTTTGGATATTTTGAGAGAAATTTTGTGTATTTTCAGTGTCATATTTGAACTTGATACAGAAGAAGGAGGAGGACAGACATAATGCTCTTCTCACTTTTGTGGAAGGTCTCGAGGATCGAACACCAGAGATACGTGCTGGAGCCTGTGCTGCCCTTGCCATACTAGAGGTAAAGAATTGTGAAAGAACTGAAAGTTACTGCTATAATGAATTGATCATGGGGTCTCTGTGGCCAAGTGGTTTAGGTTATTGACTTTAAATCACATGCCCCTCACTGCTGTTAAATTCCAACAGGAACTTTGGATTCTGACATGTGAGGAACCTATGAAGCTAGCTTACAGAACATTGGTGGTTGTACTCAAATGCCTATTCATGCCTGAAGTAATGCACAGAGGATCACCCGAGGTCCAAATTAGTAATTGTTTACAACATCAAATATTTTCATGCGAATATCATCGCAGTTGAAATAAGGGTATTGGGGGAAAAGATTATTACAAATGTATGTTTCACAATGTTCTAATTTTATTTTTCAGGCATCAGAGAGTATAGATCAGCTTGTATATTTATGGCAGTCAGATTCCTCAACTATGGTTCAGAAATGTGCAAAAGAAGCCCTCCTAAAATTAGGTAAAATAAAATTACAAACGATCCATTTAAAAATGAACACCATCTTAGATGGTTTTGCCCATCTAACCTTTTTGTTACTGAGGTAAAACAAGAAATCTGAGATAGTGTTTTGTAAATAACTTGTATCATATAGTTTTGATAGATTTTCTTATAAATTTTGTTTGATCAAATAAAAATTTGTGCAATGAAATTTTATAAAATACTTTTATTTTCTTATCAGTTCATTGATGATATATTTTTCATAGAAGGTTGTTATTTTCCAAAATCTACAGAAAAAATTTACATCCATTCAAAAACAACAATTATGTTTATTACAATCTTAGGTACAAAATTATACAGAATCTTACTTATTTACATTTTCCATTTTGTCTACAGGTGAAGAAGGGAGAAAAGCTTTGGAGGAGGCACAGCTATCAAAACATGGTTTCCAGGGGATACAAATGCACAAATAGAGTTCCAAGGTCACCTGTATGATTTCTAGAACATTTTACCCAGAATGCATTAGCTGTGAGAGAAGCTTCTATAAATAGAACTCTTTATGATGACAAAGCACAATAAGTGGCTATTTATAGATTTTTCATCTTGGGGTCTCCAGGATGTAGCTATATTTTGAAAGTTTCTTTATATTGCATAAGAATGCAGCTATATATAGATCACTGGCTTTGGAAGGAGACTATTTATAGTTTTTTTGCATTCAGTGTCTACAGAAGGTGGTTATTTATAGATTTAAGTCTAGTGATTACAGAAAGCATCTGTTTATAGAGTTTGACTTTCTGCAATGAGACATTCTTTATAGTGCATCAAGTTTTCATGCTACTGAATTAATTTTGGACAGCGAAACAGGGAAATGAGAAAAGATGAGACCACCAAAATTTTTAAGTGTCCATAGATGTACATGAAAATGATTTTCAAAGATTTAAGTTATGGAATATATGTGAATGTTGAATGTTCAGTAAAAAATTGGCTATATCTAAGTCTCTGATAATTATTGACTTGTACTGTATATACTTGTCCATATGACGGATGGTGTATAAGACAAGGGTCAAAATTTTGTATTTTAGTTGTTAAAATAGTTATTAAAATGGCACTTTCTTGAAGAATAGGCAAGTAGTTGAAACTCCTAACTTCAAGGAAAAAGGCATAATGTTATAAAGGGAGTAAATATAGTACAATCGGTACTCTTATGATTTTGTTAAATGATACTGAAAGAGTTTGTTGATTAACATTTTTATTGATGGCAAGAATTATTTTGAAAAGTGTTTTTGTATGTCATGTTTAAATCAAAAATAAATTATATAAGACTTGTAATTATATAAGTTTGTATGGTTCATGAGAAAAAATGTATGATAAACTTGCTGTAAGTAAATGTCACAAAATACTTGACACATCTTAGAAATATTTTTTGACTAAAGGTATGTTTGTACATATCTAGTAAGAATATGATTGGACTTATCAACATAATTATTGACTGTATGAACTTCAGGGGGACAGTCCTCCAGAATATTAAAGCTGCATGCCTTCAGATGAGCCAAAATATTTCACGACAGTAAAACTTTGGGAAAAACATACTTTGATTGTGAGAAAAGTAAAAAGATTCAAATAATAATTTATATCTTATAGTGCTATTATTGACTGATTTTGCAGTACTTATCATAATATTTTTTTTTACCTCTTATTTGGTAATTTATGTTGATTGTAAGTGTCGTTTGCAATGTTAAAATTACATTTATGTTCACTTAACAATATTTTACTTTTCATAACATTTTCAAAATTTTCATGAAAATTAGGATGAATCCAAGTTCATGCCAATTTTCATGAAATTTGAAAATGTAGTTAACAGTATAATATTGTAAAGTTACCAAAAGAATGCAATTTACACATTATCAATGGCACTTACAACCTATGTGAATTACTATAAAAAGGTCAAAATATGCAAAATAGCCCTTACTGCGTTAGTAACGCAGTAGAAATATAGTTATAAATACTGAAAACTCTGTCATAAATCTTATAAACATGTAAATTTTACTAGAATTTTTAATCTTTATACCTTTCCTAAAATATTGGTACATTTTTTCTCGGGTTTGATTTATCGAAATATTTTTGCTCATCTGAACAAGTCTTCAAAAAAAAAAAATCAAAACTTAAGAAAATATATTGATGGTTTCAGTAATGTACAAATATTCACAATATTCAGGTGACACTTTGAATGTATTATACAAAGTATTACAGAATCTAGTATTTTATCACCTTAATTATACCCTATTGCTAACGAAATGTGAGAAATGTCTACATATTTTGACTGGTTAAATGTAGTTTCTGTGGATAGTAATTGCCCTCTTAGGCTAGGTGTTTCTTAGGCTTTGTTAAATTGCTTAGTTTGCACACTTGACGTCATTTTACTCATTACAACACTGTTTGACATTTTTATAAAAATTAATTCAAATCTGAAGCCATGCTACTATTTGATTTATTTGCTGATAGCCTTTTTCATCTAGGTCAGTCTAGCAGAAAATTGATGGAGATACACATTTGCAATATTCATTTGACATAAATTTTTTAAGATAGATTTTTCATTCTAGTTTGAAATCGGAATACGTGCAAGTTTCATTAAGGATATATTGTAAATGCAATTTTTCAAGCCATATTATTTATTATTATTTGAATGCAATAAAAAATATATAAATGCCAGAAAATTAATTTTTTTATAGTACATACACAATTTATGTATAGTACATACACAATTTATGTACTGCAAATCCTTTTACTCAAGCTACGCAGATAATTTCTCATTATTTTTGCAAAATACAAAATATTAAACATAGGTCAGTCTCTGCCATTTTTGTTCAAAGTTTTCCATTTTAATTTATGCCTTCACTTTTCATGAAATAGTTAAATCTTCTGTATAAAATTCCTTTCTCAAGTATGATTATTATTTTATAGTTTTTGTCATTCATCATAAAATTGAAAGTTCTAACTTTGTAGAATTTTACATTGGTAATATATTGTAGATTTTGTCAACAGTTTACAGTTTTTCTTGACACAAAGTGAAAACAAAGATAAATCCAGAAACTTTTTTTTCACAATTCTTAATTGTCATACTTCATTATACTGCAAGATTTCATTATATCTGATTCCAGTGTTGATTGATATAGGAATTCATTTATGCAGTTAGCAATGTCTTTTCTCACTATTTACCTCCCTTTGTTGCTGCAATTGTGTTCTAATATTTTCCACTAATTTATAAACTAGTCTTATTCTTGGTGCTATAAATAGATTACAAATTAATGTCTTCATTTTAGTGTGTTCTCTTATAACATTCATCATGTCCTAATGTCAACTGATTACAGGCAAAGTTATACATGTAGTTGTATGTATTGTACAGTATTGAAGAAAGTCATAGGCTTATTGCTTGATAAAAATGTTAAAGGGACTCCACTGTAGTTTTTTTTAGACAATACAGGACTGGAAATAATTTATCAAGGTTTGTTTACCATTTGATGTACGTCTAGACCAATAATTTCTTTGTTAATTTTCAGATCATTTGCTCACTCCGTTCTTCCAGAATAATTATTCTAATTGACTAAAATAAGACCCAAAATTGAAAAGCGATTCAATGTTTTTTATTCTAATTGGGCAAAGAATAAGCACAAAAATACAATTTTCAATTTCTGTCTTGGTACATTTCTTAAATATGTTTGCATATCTTTCTAAATTAAGTGCCATAGTTGATCTATGTAAGAATTTAAATTTTATGTTTTAAGGCTTTTGCACTTTAGTTGAAGTTCCTTTAAGGTATAAAATTTGTTAAATCTGTTCAGAAACAATTTTTGATAAAAGTTTATATTGTCAGTCCTATCTTAACTATAATGAGTAAATAAAATGATGAACATAGTAAAAGTAAATGTATTTAGTCTGCAAGTTAATCAGGTGGAATAGTAAGCTACAAAACACACTTTTCTAGGTAAAAAAATTTCAAATTAATTATTAATCATTTATTAACTTTATCAAAATTCTCATTCTTTGATATATGTTATTAATTACATAAGCTTCTCTTTATAAGTCACAACATGACCTAAATATGGATATTGACTATTAAAACAATAAAAAAAAACATGGAAATCATAGTATTACAGGCAACAAAACACACATTTAAAGATTGTGTGCTCTTTGTTTTCTTTAACTGGTTCCAAATTATTCACATTGGACATGTCATGTAATGTCTGTGTTAGTTTTGTGTCAGAATGTTTTGAATAAAATGTTTCTTTTCTTACTGTACTTATTTGCCAAAAACTTGCCTACTTGTTTAAAGTTCTAAGTTCTTTAGAATGACCTTCCTTAAAGTTTATACACTACTGTATTGTTTGAAATAGTTCCTTATTATGGTCTTTAAAGTAGTTAAAGCACATTGGGTACTATGATTTTAGTTCATCTTTAAATGGTCCATTAGGATAATAATACTTAAACATTAAGTTCAAATCTTTGCTTGCATGGGTATTATACATGTATTGATATTCATTTTTTTTTTTGGATTTCTGAAATTCCACTTTTGCGAATTTGAAATTTTACAACTTTGCCATATACATGTACCTGCCACTGATTGATTTACTTTACAATGTTACAGAAAGACACAAAATAAGTTCACAGACACAAACATGTGGAAGGGAATATTTGTGTAATATTTTGATCTGCTTAATATACATGTATCCATGTGATAATCCCAAATCTTGTACAGGTATCAGTGTGATTTTCCCAAATATCATACAGGTATCACATGATTTTCCCAAATATCATACAGGTATCACATGATTTTCCCAAATTTCATACAGGTATCACATGCATTTCCCAAATTTCATAAAGGTTCGGTAGGGTTTACCCAAATCTCATACAAGTATTGGTGTGATTTTTTTCCCAAATCTCTTAGAAAGTACCAGAATAATTCCCCCAAATTTCATTGAATGTATGTTGATATATAATTATAATAATTAATTCTACAATTATTGATATACATGTATATGACAGTTGCTATTTCGTGATTTTGATAAAGTATGATTTAAAAAGCTTAACTCATTTAAAAGATTAGATCATGATATGACTAATAGCCATAGTTTTAAGTGCCTAGATTCATAAATGTTTTGTTTGTTATATTTGGCCTATGCAATGTTGTTGGAGTTTTTTTTTTGTTCGTTTCTTTTTTTAAAGAAAAAAAGTACAAACAGCACTGCCAGTTATAATAAGTGTTGCAACAAGTGGCAGAGCCTGAATTGTGCTCTTAGTCTTAAGTTGCCATTGTTAGATCAACTTTAAACGTCACAAAATGATTACATAACTAAAAATTTATCTTCTAACTGTAAGTGTTCTTTTGTTCATTGATATAAAAACAGGACCAATTGCCTTCTGTTGTGATTTGAGAGGACTGGGTTGATGCCTTTGCTAACTAAATATTGAAGAAATTTTTACAATTTATAAAGACATTTTTGCTAAGTTATGTTCTAAACGGAAGAGGTCTATTTAAGGTCTGTGCTATAGAAGATGTATAAGACCTGATAAGAGTTGAACAAAGTGGTATCACATGTGAACAACTGAAAGAACAAAATAACAATCCAGATTGCATAAATGTTTAAAGTTTTTAAGTTTGGACCAGCCTTGTTTTGTTTATTTTAATAGATTTTGGTTCAATATTTTGAACCCAGAATCAAGAGTTGTGCAAATACTTTATATATCTTCTTATTTATTGTACTCCTGCAAAATGTAAAAAAAAGAAAGAAAATTAGCATATTAAAAAAGTATAACTAAACTTATTGTTAATCAATAAATCTTATGTAAGATAGGATTATTGCAATAGGCATGTATTTCAGCATATTTAAAAAAATGGGAAAAGAAAATGATATAGAGTTATGTCTTTATTTTTTTTCTGTCATATTTGGCAAGCTTATTTCAGCATATTTTACAAAAAGGAAAGAAAATGATATAGAGTTATGTCTTTATTTTTTTTCTGGCTTATTTGGCAGTCTTGTATCATTGCAGAACCGTCATTCTTAATTAAACACATGTGCTGTTTGTTAATTATCTATGTAATTATATGTATATACTGTTGTTTAATCATAGAATTTTCATATTTATCATGTTATACATTAACACTACTTGTTGCTTGTTGCAATTTGATGTCTGTTGTTGTTCTTCTGATATTATTACATCATATTTTTGCATAGTCATTTCCGGTCAGTTCTGCGTTTTTCACGTGTTTACATTGCAAGATTTATGTGAAGTTTGTTTGTACATTATTCGTGTATATGTTATATAAAATGTTTCCAAAGACTCTTTCATTTCTAGAGATTATTATAATAAAATGTATGCAAATCATATTTTTGAGTTTTTACTTTTAGAATTGCCTCCTTAAATGAAACATCTGCCGGCTTAGCTCTATCATGTCTATAGGGACAAGTTAAGATTAGTAGCCCATGGGTTGCTGGTGCGATCTTCAGGCAAGTCAAACTTTCTCTGTGACAATTGATTTGAGCCGCGTCACGACAAAACCAACATAGCGGGTTTGCGACCAGCATGGATCCAGACCAGTCTGCGCAGATCAGGATCCATGCTGTTCGCTATCAGTTTCTCTACTTGTATCAGGATCGATGCTGTTCGCTATCAGTTTCTCTACTTGTAGTAGGGTTTTGGTTTTGTGATAACGCGGCTCATTTGATCATTTCAGACTTTAAGTCTAGTAATGGTCATTTGTCTCTCACCGCTGAGTCAGAAATCATGTAGTCAAATTTTCACTACCTCTGAAAAAGACATCAGCACTGAGCCCGACAATAAACTCAATAAAAAAATCGGAGTAGCTGAAAAGCAGCGAACGGGCAGTTGTTGCTGGACGTGGCATGAGTGTCAAAAGAGTTGTGTACGCTCTATTTTCTGACAGTGCCTGAGAGGGTTAGTTGGTGTCTCTGTCCGAACATTTGAGCCGTGTCACGACAAAACCAACATAATACGTTTGCAACCAGCATGGATCCAGACCAGTCTGCGCATCCGCGCAGTCTGATCAGGATCCTTGCTGTTCGCTTACAAACCCTATAACAAGTAGAGAAACTGATAGCAAACAGCATGGATCCTGATCAGACTGCTTGGATCTGGATCCATGCTGGTCGCAAACCCATTATGTTGGTTTTGTCATGACGGGGCTCATTTTACCATGGCCATGTTCTCACTGCTGTAGTTAATCACTACACTACCAAGAACTCAAGTACGGGGTGCCAGGATCAAATTATTCCATGATTTTTCACATGTATGACTTATTTATAAAAACGCGCTGCCACTAATTAAAATATGCCCGTCGTAATTGTTATATAGAATTTACATGAAATGCAAGATATGGCTCATTTTCTTTATCTATGTTATAAACGTTATGTTTGAACAGAAAGTGAGTGCAGGCCAACTTGGCTCTCTACTCTTACATTCCCCCAACTTCATGTGTTCCTTTCTGAACCATTAAACTCACATATTTTAATATGCTATATGTTTAATTGCATCTTTTTTAAGGACAGCGTATAACATTTGATCATCCAATATATCAATGAAGTTTTAACAGTCAAATATAATTTTTACTAATAACCAAAGTGCATATACACACAGCAATGACTAATTGTACATGTTTCGTGTATTCTGGAACTTATTTTTCTGAAACACAATTTCAAAGTTAAAAATTCTGGGTGGCGACAGTAAGGTATGTTACATTTCAGGGCATTAATGGTACTTGTAAAAGAAAAATACCAGATAAAAATGTAAAACTGAGAGAGTCCCTATTAGACAAAGTGGCAGCCACCTTTCTAACGACATTTTGACCTCAAGAAAAACCTTCCTATAAGAGCTACCCAGTGGAACATCAAATGCTGTGTTTTATTGAGAATGAGCGTTAGATATAATTATCTCCTTTTTAATATTCACCTTTAAAGATATATAAACATTGAAATTATCCTGATTCATCTATATGGTACAAGACAGACTTCATTAATTTTTATCTACATGTATTATTTTTATTGCTTTCATGAAACATCGTCTCAACATTTTCCCATTCATATTCCTAGAGGT